CTAATTTGCTCAATCATATCACTCGCACGTTTCATGCTCATCCCGCAGAAATCAGGAACCAGATGCGCACATTTTGCATGACAAGTAATGCCACAATCTACAATAAATAATATATATAACTAAGTACATTCGATACTATTATATATATGACATGTCCTAAACATAACATACCAGTACATTTCCTTGCTCCTTTCTTGCCTATCGGTAGAATATAACCACAATGGCAACACCAATTTGCAATAATACTAGTCATAGCTTCGAAACGATGTGGAATACGATGATTAAGTTGCTTGTAGTCAGAATCCTAAAAAATAAATAAATAATTTAAGTCTTAGCTAATATTTTAAATAATTCTTAGATAAGTTTAACAATGTCATGTTTTCGATTACCATTTCCGCATGCGACATGGTAATACATTTCGTCACTAGTTTAGTGTAACATCTCTTGTGACAAGTCAATTTACAATCTAAAGAAGTAATGTAATTTAAGATAGAGTGCTTATATTTAAAGATATCATGTAAAAACACATACGTACCATCACATTGATATCCTTCGTTCACAAATAATTCTTCACAATAAGCGCATTTCATGATCTGATAGAATATTTGTTGAAGGAATTTGTGTCCGTTCTGCTCATGCACTTCGCCCTTGCGTTTACGGAAAGCCCCTTGACGGCCAAGACCCGCATCAGGACGCTTGCCCGCATTCTCTTTTGCTAAATTCCCACATAATTCCGATATTAGACATATATAGAATTATCGAAAAATATGAAAGTAAAATCTAATACATATATTCAATAGTTCTATCATACCAAAATTTAATTTTAATAATATTTGACCAACTGGTTCAACGTCAAACCATGCCTCAATACCATCGGGTAGAACTGCTGTTCCAGCACCTTCTTGAGGTTGAGCAGAAGAATAAGGTATGCTATATGGTGGACCATTGTTTACAGCAGAAGTAGGTGAAGATTGCATTTCAAATTGAGGATTAGAGGCGGACACCCAACCCGGGCCACTTTCAGCCTCAATCCTTTTTTTCCTAAGTTCTTCAGCAATATCAGAAATTTTAATCCACAGAAGACCAATAGGTTGTGGATGTTCATGAGGTTTATCATATAAAGTAATTTCAATTTCACTAGCTTTTTCTACATGAATTTCAAAATCTTCATTCCAGCGATCGTTACGCGAAGCCTTTGTTTTGCCTTTTGTCGCACCATCAATTTTAATGACGACAGTGGTTTCTGGAGATTTTAATGTGCGAGTAGGTGCATGTGCTAAATACTGTGCACTACGTACACGGATATTCAGTTTTCCTGTCACAGGACGGCGCTGTCGTGGTACAATTTCATCATCTGTAAGAATTTAATAAAATACGTAAAATTTATGTAGATGTTATGGCTTCATGGATATATAAATATGCTAGTTTTGTTCTATTAAATTCATATATATCAAACCATTTCCAGATAATATTATTGTTCACAATACAATAAAAAACCTGTTACATAAATAAATCAGCCGCATACAAAATTCTTAACACTTTTATTCATATAATACTTACATTTATCAGAATAGTATTGTGTAATATTTAAAGGAAATGTAGCAAGAAAAATAACTCACCTTCGTCTTCATCTACAATGTACAATGATTTATATTTCTGTAACGACCTTGTTAATAAAGAGATCTTCTCTTTACTCTCCAATGTTTGGACCTGAACTTCTGCAATGCCTTTTTTATTCTTTGGATCTTGTAAAATAACCGCATCACTCATTTTCTCTGAACCTTCCTTAAGTCTTCGTTCAACATCGAGTTTGAATTCGAGTTCGTGAAGTTTCAGAGTTACTTTCTGACGAGCAAAAGGAGCGTCCGATTTAATAAGGTCTGTTTATTATATAAAGATCCGGCGAACACAGATCAGTCGAATGGTGCACAAATTTTGGAGTGCAAAAAATTCAATTAATGGCGAAAAGTAAAGAATTCGCCACAAAATCCCACCCAAATTAGATAATCCTCGTGTGGCTGGTATCGATGAACCATAAGTCTCTGGTGTTGCATTGGGATAATTAGGTAGTTGGTTTGGTTGTGGATAAGAATAAGAATGATGTGGCGATATTGGTGAGTAATTTCCACCAGGCGATATCTGTTGAGCTTGGTGCTGGCCAGGTTGTGTAGGGTACTGTAAACTATTACGTTGCCTTATTTGCAGTCTTTCTAACTCTTTTTGTAAATAATCAATATTCCTTGCGGCGTCAACAATATTTTGTTCGCATTGCGCTTGAACCTGAGGATTGGTTGTTTGAGATTTAACCCTCTCGGCAGCTTGCCGCATTTGCGCTTCCTTTTTGATTTTTTCATTAATTGCCCTGAATTTGGCGTCAATGTCCTATCGGGGCTATTGTCAGTTCCAAGCTGCTCATCTTTAAAGAAAGAAACACGCACATAAGAAATAATAGAAGGTTTTACACCTACCCCCATGGTTCGTTTCAATTAAAAAAAGAAAATTTTTGGTTAAGCGAGAACTTAAAACTGTGTATAACCATATACGCAGTTTACTCAAGAATATGTGATCGTCTGTGTACATACTATGTATTAACAGTTGACATATTCTGATAAAAACGTTAATTGATAATACTAAGTGTGACTAGCCATTTCATAGTTCACGTGTGGACAAAAAAGCTCCTGTTTGTTACGTACAATCTATATGTTCAACAAATCAATTCCGCATATAGAATTTACAAGTTTTCATTGTCATTGTATGTATAGTACGTATATACAGTATATCAGCTAGTATATCATCGCGTTATGATATATTTAAGATACGATTAATATAACATAGTTGTCTAACCTTATTAAAATACGTGTATATTTAGTGATGGAACTTGGAATTTCTTAATATTAGAACTTTGGGTATATTGACCTAAACCTAACTTCAAAATCTGAATTGCAGTACGAATAATTGAATCCAATTTTTTTCTTCAAAAATTGTCAAGCAAAAATATACACATGTACGTATCTACTGATTCTAATGATAAATAAAAAGTAACTAAGCCAAATACAGTCAGACCTTCATATAAATACACCCCCTCGAAACCATAAAAAAAAAATTTGAAAAGTACACTTAGAAGAGTATGCATTTATAGAGAGCGAAATTTCACAGTATAATATTAGGATTAAGTTATATTAACTTTAAAAAGAATTTATGTAATGCATGTACGTATAAAGGTCTAATTGTATTACGTATTTATATTATGGAAGTTTGTATATATTTAAGAATTACGTTATTATACATACAAATAAAGTATCTTTTAAACATAATAAGCATATTTAAAAAAAAAAAATTATTTATTTTTTTTTGGATGTTAAGGTGAGACCTTGCTTATTCGTATCATTATAAGTAATTTTAAAGTAGTTGTTATATAAATTATATAAGAGCTTAAGATTTATCTAGGTTTATATAGTTAAAATATACTGTGTATAGTCGATACTGTCTAATTGTATACTATCCGTTAAAAACTTTTTTATATATAGACAGTATATGTATTTAAGTTATAAAGTGTTGATAATTAAAAATCAAAATTGTCTTATACATTTAGAGAGTATATGCAATTAGACAATATACAATTAGACAATATTGGCTGTATATGTACATATTTGTTTAATAAGTATATACAGTAGTTCAAATTTAGTAAAAATAGTGATTATATAGTAAATAAGTATAATAATTTTTTTTAGTGTTAAGGTAAGACCTTGTACTTCAAGTTTTTATTTTGGTAAATTATCATATATTATATATTATATATATATATATACTATAAGTACTACCTACATAGCTACTATAAGTATTAGAACTACTTTATTCTTGGCTTAAACCTACTAGAGCTTTTCATATTGTTACAAGTAGACTGTAGCCTTTTTAATATAGCACAAGTAACAAAGCACATAGCTATAGAGCTTCATTGCGAGATTATAGCAGTGTGAAAGTAGAATGTAACTTCACTAAGGGCAGTTTATAGAAAGTATATAGTTTAAAAAAAGATAAGAAAGATATATTTTACTGTATTTATGATATAAGACTTTAATTACAAGAGATAATATTCCTATAACTAAAGGGTGTCTGTATTTAGAGAGGGTGTCTGAGTCTTGTCTAGTAGGAAGAGAAAAAACCAGGATTTATATATTATT